AGAAATAGTAAATGAAATATAAACATTGCATACATTTTGTTCTAAATAAATAGTGTACTGGATGAATTTCCAGTGCACTATTTATTTAGAACTTCATTTAAATGAAAGCAAAATAAACATTGAAAAAAATCGAAAATCTAGCAATCCATTATAGACTATGGAACAGCATCCGACAAACATGTAAATTTTACTGCATCCATGGAGGGAACAAATGACCACTCTAATGGGTTTTCTCATTAGCAAAAAGTCAAAGAGGGGACCAAAGTGTTTTGGTCTGAAGGCTATATTATGAGAATTTCGGCCAGGTTCTAGAAGGTTAATAACTCAAATATTTATCCAGAGATGTTCATAAGAAAATAATATACACACAGAAGACACCCATTATTTTACTGCAAAATAAAACAAAATAAAAAATTAACCTGCAAAAGTGGAACTGACAACCATTTCAAAAATGCAAATAAATAGTGCAAAATTTTCACTTTATGTCCGAAACGTTACAAATTAAGAAATTTGAAATGAATGTTTAAACAATGAAATTTAAAATTCATTAAACAGAGTTACTATGGTATAAATTTCTTTTTAACAAATACACTGCATAAAGAATGATAGAGTTAAATTACATATTTTTATAACTATTTTGAACCCAAATGAGATAAGCTTATTAAAAGCAACAGTTGACCAAAAATATTAGTTATAAATATTGCATGGAGTTTTTATCGTTCATACTAATCACTATTAACCGAGAAGCACTTTCATTTAGTCCATGTTTCTTATTTTTCTATGCTTTATTTAATAGCTCTACCTTTTGGAAAAAATCTATTATTTACATTTGATTGCTTATAACAGATGGAGCTTTTTTTTTTTTTTTTTTTTTTTTTCTGCATAAGAATCTTTATTCAGGAACACAAGAACAAAATTAATTAAAATATTCATTCACATATTTTCCCCCAAAAAATGTAGTGTACACTGTTTCTGAAGAACAAGCTTAATTGATAAACATAGCACATTAAAAAGGGGACACAAAGATAATTTAATATTACATAATGTATTTCAGAGGACTTATCAATTTCAAATGTAGTCTTTTTATTTCACTTTACCAGGGGTGTTTGTGGACCCCAAAAAATCCCCTGAAACTTTTACGGACTTACTACTGACATTTTGGAGTTTCGAGAAGGGGGGGGGAAGAGAAATGAAAAATTACAATTATGAAGTATTGAATGACCTAATTATAAAAGTTCAATGAATTACTTTTTTTGCAAAATTAAAAACCATAAATTTTCAAACATATAAACTACTACATTTTATGTAAATATTTTAGATTACCTGAATTAATTCTTTAAAAAAAATTATCTAATTTCTGCTGCTTTTTTTTTTTTTTTTATTTTCTGATGTTTGTGGGCTTGTCTTTCTTTTGTGAACTTCATAATTGCAGGAAGGTTGACTTTTATTTTCCTCATTTACAGTTGAAGAAATTTCCTCGAGAACTGCACATGCAGAGGTAGAAGAAGTTTGCTTTTCTGCAATGTAGAAGGTTTTTCAGAGACCTTTATAGGTGACTCATCTGAAATACATATTTTTAAGTCCTCTTGATATGTTTCCAACTTCTGTTCATATCAGGAAGAGATCTTTGTGAATTGGATCAGTCATTGGATATTTTTAGCCATATTTTTCACATGAGGTTTCTTTAGAAGCCATTAAATCATATTTAATAGTCTGCACTGCACCTAGGGAATCAATCTTAAGAGAGGTTCTATAGTCAGTGACAAGTGTATCCATTAAGTTGAATGCACTTTCCACTAATGGGCCATGGAAGCAGCTAAGGCAGGCTTTGACCAATTTAGCCAATGTAGGATACTTATAATCATTCGTGAAATCATCTTTTAAATTAAAAACTTTAGACCAATATTTATCAATTGTACACTTGACTTGATTTCCATTTTCATCAGATGTGTAGAGCATTTCTTTGGCGATATCAATATCACTCTGGTATAACCTTATTTCAGCTTCTACTTTTGACTTTTCATTATCACTAAAAATATGGGACATAAAGATGATAATTTTTCAAAAGCTAATATTGTACTGGTTTTACCTCTTAGCTCTGGATCTAATGCTGTAAAAACTAATTAGATATAAATTTTTAAGGGATAATTTCTGTTTCATATGCTGTGCTGTATTAGTATAAGCTTTCATCAGAGAAATTTGGAATTCTTTTGCTATTGGATGATTTTTTGATAATTTCTTCAGGAGAGGGGAAGCTTCTGCACCAGTAAATATTACTTTGCTAGGTAGATGGAATTCTGGATTTGTGACATCAACCTTAATAAATCATTATAAGATGTGCACTCTATATTTCTGGCTTCATAAAAAAAGAGAAAATTTTGCCATCAATTTATAAATACTGGAATGTATTAAATGAAGCATTGGTTTTTTTGTTTCAAATAATTTAATATATGTGTTGAACTCTGGTAATACTGCTGAATATAATGCCATATGCAAATAAAGTTTGTTTTGCATAACAAATAACCCATTTGGTATTCTTTTTTTCTGAGCTAAAGCATCCTTTGTGAGTTGTTGGGAATGCAAGCAAGAATACACCCCTTCAACAATTTTTTTCCGAGCTGCAGAAATATTTCTTTTATTGTATACAGTTTCAACATAAGAAAAATAATCCCTTTTGTCAGTTTTATCCAAGCAGTGAAAATAAAATGCAATAAGAGCACCCCACAGATCTTTGATTCTTTCTAAAACACATAAAACGTACACCCACCTATGGTCTGGTCTCTTCAAGGGCTTAAGTTTTTTAATGGCAAGGGATTCACAGATTTTGAAAAAAATTTCTCTTTTACTGCAGATTTTCATATCAAAATAGATGTCATCAAACAAATCTTCTAAGTATCTATCAAAACATGAAGCAAATTTTTTTGCACAGTTATTAGCTGTGTGACATGTGTCACCATCAATATCTAATAAGTGAGGTGCTTTGTTTGATCGTAATCTGGTTTCAACAACCTTTTTTTCCCACACAGGGTGTTACATGAGTCCATTAATACACTAATTAAGTTTGCCCATGGAATATTATTATCTTCAATAGTATTAACAACTGCTTTAAAAACAGCTTCTGAATTGCAAGATTCCATCTTTAGAGATGCAAAATGATGAACTACAACTTCATTTTGATTGTTGTCATAAAACTGCACCAATATTGCCAGTATACTTTCTTGAGCATTGCTAGTACTTTCATCTAAATTTAGAGAAAATGGAGTCTCCTTTAAAGTTTTAATGATATTTTCCTTAATAGTTTTCACGAACCCATATTTCATCTTATAACATGCAGTAGTCCTGGACATTTCCAACAAGTTTAGTGCCGTCTGATCGCGGCTCAACTGTTTGCAGAGTTCAATTAAATTGGGAGCTACATTGAAAGAAAGAGAATTCTCGGCAATAAACAAAGTTATTAATACCTCTTGGCGTGCTTTTCTTGTCACTATATCCAATGGCCGAGCATCAGTCTCCAGTAAGTCATCAGTATTTTTTGAATTAGCATAATTACTTAAAGTCATTGAATGTCTAATGCACTTTGAATATTTTATGTGCGTCACAGTTTTAGAATGATTTGTGAAAGCCTTGAATCCTTCTCCACCATACTTCAGCAGTGAGTTACAAAAAACACAATATGCTTGTCCAGCAATATTTATTTTCTTGCACCATGTGCCGATGGTATCCCCATTACCATCTTTCCGTTCAATCCAATTCCACCTAAATGCATTCCGGACACCTTCTTCCAATTGTATAATATCACTATTTATATCGAGAGAAATTTCATAGTGAAATTTCTCTGCGTACATAATAAAAAAATATTTCAATAAACGAAACGAAAAATTTACACGTGCATCAATAAATGAAACGAAAATTTTACACAGCGGAGAAATAAAAAGTTGAGAAGTGATCAATGACAAACAGCTAATACGGCGAAAAATCCCCCTTCTCTAATTATTGGTGCCACGCCAGGAGAGATAAGACCTTTGAACTCAGAGTCACGTGATCGCACATCTGGTCGAACGAAGTCTCTCCCCCTTTTTTTTCTGCCACGCCTACTTGCCGAAAAGAATCCAGAAGAGAATGTCCGAGAACTGGGGGAATGAGTCCTAACTCGCAATAAGGAAAGAACAAAAAAGAAGTTTTTTCCCCCTTTTCACGCATTATCACTGCCTTTGGAGAAAGAAAGGAAAAGTTCTCACCACACACACTGACCTTGCATTTTCTGCTTTCAAAGCAAACAAAATTACCCAGATCAAAATAAATAATTCATTATTATTCCTACTTCCTTTAGAACAACGATCCCCGGAATTTCCGGGTATCGAATTTCAAAATCCCCCCCCGGAGCACAAACACCCCTGCTTTACTACCAGTGCATACATTTTACTGTTACCATAAATCAGAAGTTTCTAAATTATATGCTGGGGGGGAGGACCTGGAAAAAATACATGAAAGGAAGAAATATGAATTATATAATATTATATATATATATATATATATATTATATTTTTTTTTTTTTTTTTTTTTTTTTACTTCCTGTTCTTTTTAGTTCTGTCATAACAAAGATTTATTTTGAATACATTTTAATATGCTTTGACTATTGAGATATTAGCAATTTTGCCATAGGTTCTTAGCGTTGGCAATTTCCTTTGTTGAAATGTGTTACAGCAAAACAGTTGTAACAATTTGCATCTATTTTTGAACTGTCTCATAGAAGCACTGTGCTACATGGGCAAGAGGGTTGCCAGGATTAATAGTTTGCTTGCAGCATTAAAAGTACTTTGATGAATATTTTAATGAGTATGTATAGTGAAATACTTTTAGGTGAACAGATTAATACCTATAATATTTTTTAGGTATTTAGTTGACATGTATTTTATTTAAACAAGCCTATCTATCTATCACATTCAAAACAGCAACAATAGCTAAAAAAGTTATATTTTACATAACTTTATTTTACTCACCTAGGTGTGATGGGAGAATGTGAATTTTGACTTCCAAACAGATTTCGTCCATTTTTAGCATATTTTTTGGCATTTTTCATAAAAGTTGGAAAAGGAACCCAAGCATTGTTTTCAGGTGTGTAAACCTCTATACTTACTTCAGGTGTTGACCTGATAAAAGTTAGAGGAGACTGGCTACTATAGATTGATGGAATAGGTGATACAGGAATAATTGCAATTTTGCTTGATATTTGACTAGGATCCTACAAAGGAATAGAACAAAATATCAACATGTGCTGCATACAAATGCAACCTGAATCACACAATCAAATTTTGATTTTCTTTTTGCATTTGCTTATGCAAATATGCTTTAACTTATTCTCCCTACCTCTTGAAAAAATTACTATATTTACAAATACAAAATTTCAAGTTTGCAACACTAGAATTTGATGAAATTAATTTTCATAAAATATTTTAAGAGCATATTTCATACACGGATTTAACATAAAAAAAAGTGATTCATTTACTTTTTAATATTTATAAAATTAGACAAAGCAACAAACTTGCATTTGATGTACATTTTAATTATTATTATTATATAACAACAAACACAAAGTTGTAACATTTGTCTAATTTTATGTTTTACTCTGGTGTGTTTCTATTCTTTCTCTCTTTCTTTTTATAGTATTAGTTTCCTTTTATTTAATCAAACATTCACATGTAATAATGATTTTCCACACTGTTCTATAACTCTAAAAATCCAAATTTATTTCACAATATATTATCTCTATTTAAATAAGCTGTACAGAATCTTTTCTGTAAGAAAATAGTTTAGTCAAAAGTTAACAAAAATGTTTAGTCAAAAGTTCAATGATCTCCTTAAATTCTAAGATTTTAATTTTTATAATATAACTATCACAAAGAGAATTCTTTCAGTTAAAATATCTGCTTTTTATAACAACGCAAAATACTCAACAAGCAATTACAGAATTGCTTATTTCAAAAAATTTTCAATTCAATACTTTAAACAATACTTCTACTGTATCCAGTCCAGAAATCCGCAAAGCTTGGGACCAGAGGTTGTGCGGATTTTAGGATTTTGCAAATTTCAGGACAGAAAGGATAAATCATAATATTCAGACTAAAAGTGCAAAATAAATAAGGCGTATTAGATACATTTAATTAAATTATTATATACATCATTGCAATAATTTATTATATGCGTTAAATTATTATAACATATAAATTGATTATATTATTCATTGTATTATATGTACACAGCATCCAGGTTTGCCGATTTCGCCTCATGCACAGATTTCCGGTTTCGGATTCCGGTGTTACAATCACTGTTGCTGTAAACTTTCAACAGCTTTTCTTTATTTTTTCGTATATCATACATAATCATGTCACAATTCCATACAATTCTGCTATAAACCGAGGAGTGGAACCTGCCTCCATCTTTTGCATTACCGTCAATGCAACGTGTTTACATTTTTTAATGTTGCAAGCAGTAAAATCATGAGTGCGTTTCTTATCTGTTATTGTATTAAAAAGGGCTGAAATTTAAAATATTCTTAATTTATCCACAAAATATCTGGATAAAAAAAAGGCAGCACTAAATAATCTTGTGAAATAACAAAGCTCAGAAAATACAACAACATGAATTGTGAACTTGAAAGAAGAGTTGAGTTAATTGTCTGCTTTTTTACCTTGATGCAGATTAGAGGGAAAAGAACTTTTAACATGATGTCAATAATTTGGTATTTCCTTTATGACTCATTGGTATTTCCTTTATGACTCATTATTATTCAGTAATTATGACATCATTATTTAGTATTTTTTCTTTGATATTTTGTACTCAATGTGTGGTTTCCATAACTTATAAACTGAATGTTTATATTTTGAGAGGCGACGCAGATTTCAGGTCGGCGGATTTTCGGTATTTGACTGTACTACTAAGCAGTGAATTGAAATTTTAATCAGATGAAATCAGATGGAAGAGGACCTCCCACCCCCCAAACACATTCCCTAAATTTTCAATTTATTAATTTATTATTAGTATTTACTATAAGAAGCTTCCCTTGTACTTCTGTGTTACCTGCAACGGGTAGCTGTGGTATGTAGTACAATTACCAATAAATATCGCTTCCCAGTTGCACCTATGTCAGAATGTAGCTTTAATATAAAATCATTTTCTCTCAAATTTCAGTAATACAGTAGATGATGATGGAATTCCAAATTAAGCCAATTCTTTCTTGATGTACAATTTTTCTTTACTCTTGAATCTGTCTTGCAAGTAATGCCTATGCTATCAGAAACAAAACACCATCAAGAAATCACAAGTTGGCTAGATTATTTTAGGAGTTCCTCCTCTGCAACTGAAATGATTGACACTGAGATGATTGCCAAGTTATCTTACTACATATTGCAGGTACTAACTAAACAACAAATAACAAAATATTTAATACAAAGAACAATATTCTAATGCACCTGACTCTATATTATTGGGACACATCAATACTGGATTGTTTTGACTAGGCAGTTTAACATAATATGAAATTACTCATTCAAAAGAAAGGTACAGAAAAGCATGACATTTTTCACATTACAAATAACAAAATATTTTTCACATTACAGTGTTTTCATTTCCTTAAGTAAAACCTTGTATAGGAATTAAACAAAAATACTAGTAAAAGGAATGCATAAAATGGCACAATACTTTCTACCTGAGAATTCAGATGCTGTCACAATTATTTATACAAACTAATAGGAAACTAAAATACTTTTAAATATTGTTTTGCACAATTGCAAATGAATTAAGTCTGAGCTTACATAGTTTCAAAAAAGCAAATTATTAGAACTTCTATGGCAAATACTTTCATGAGCATTTGCTGTAGGTATTTGCAATAGTAAATTTACGTGGTGGGATCCATGAGTATGATCCTCATGTGTATCCATAGTTATGAGCTCATATGCGAGCCGTAACTAGACAGTCCTGTACCTTGTGCAAGAATTTGCATTTAGGCCCCTCAATTTATTAGATTTGGGCAATTAATAAACCAAATACATTACAATTTTTTTTTTCATGACCTATTTAAATTCTACTTTTCTTGCTTTAATTTCAGCAAATTAATAACATCATCATTAATACTTTTACTGTTATTGTATTCTATTGAAATAATGAATCTGATAGTCATTCTCGATTTATTTAAAAAAATTTTTCTTATTAATTTCACCTTGCTAAAACTTTTCTTGCATAAAGTAGTGGAACTGGGAAGAGTTAGAAATATTTAAAGATAACGTTTGGTTAATACTGAATTAAAACCAAAATCATGAAGGGCCTGCAGAATATTACACAAAGATACAGTGTCCAGATTTTTTATAAGATTTGTTACTGGGAATTTCCAGTTTCATATGTGAATTCACACTTTTTAAAATCTTTGCTAAATTTAATAGTGAAATCTGCAGTCATTTTTTTTAATTCCTACTATTATCTCACACTCTCCCTATATCCTGTTCAAATTTTCAATGATTAATAAAATACTTTTTATTCATCCACTCAAGTTAAAATACATTTTTTTCACTTAAATTGTTTTCACATTTCACTTTAATTCCTTGAGTCTGATATGTCGCCTTGAGTTGTGTGAAATCATTAGATGGAATATTAATTGAAGAACTGGACTGCTTGAAACTCACTGGAGATGTTCCTTGCAATAATGAAGCATTGCAAGAGATGGATAGAATTATAAATTATGTATCACCATCAGCTTTATAAATTAGAAATGAAAAAATGTTAATAAAAACTAAATGTAACTAAATAAAATTTTTCTTTGTTGAAGTAGAATTCACTTAATTTTGCATTATATTACTTGTTTTAAACTAGCAACATTCATGAATTGTAAAAACGAGCCAAAGAGACAGTAAAAATTATCACAGGCAGTTTTCATTTTTTGATAATGTCAACCTATTTGAGACAATAGAGAGGAAGTCTGCAGTGCTGCGAAATTCTCATTCCTTTCAATCCAGAATACAAAATTTATCAAATTCTAGTTTATTTTAAATTCCAATCGATAAACCTTCTCCTGTGTTTTCATGTGAATCAATGAAGTTAATTTTTGGGTACAGTCAATGTGAATATATCTTATCACCTGAACCATTTCTTGAAACATCAGCGATACAGTAAAACAAAATGGTGTAGTACTTTGTTTTCTTAATTCTGCATATTATTTCATTTCTAGTTTTGTCCTCAACTTTTATTTTTTCACTTTACATAATGCATGAGAAAAAAGAAGTTATACCATTTTTATATTTTTTCAACATGTTCGTTTAAAGTATTATCATGAGTAGCAAAGTCAATCAAATTTTTAAAAATGCTGCAATTTGGATACCGAATAATTTCATTTAAACTTCTAAGGACAATATTATCCTTGCCACAGAATAAAATAGCACCCAGCATTATTTTCAATATTTTCTGTTATATAATTTTTCTTTATTAATATTAACAATGTAATTATCAACTGCATTTCCTGATTTTAGATTATTTTCCATCAGTCTCTATTTCACATATAAATTTGTCTGGAAAATTTTTGCAATGGTTAATAACCTTATGAAGAAGCCTCCAATCATGAAATCCTTTTCGTGGGTCTCATGGAGTGATTTATGTCCAAAAAAACACGCAAGGAGAGCAAAATACTGCATTTTTATTAATGGAATATAAAGTCCATTTTTTAACAGTTTCTACATTAATTTTTTTAACATAAAAACAGTCTTTTATAAAGTTTCACCCTGAATCGCTGAATCTTAAATCTGCAATGCAAGATAAAACATACTACAAAAGAAAACTACCTGTAGGTCCATTCTTATTTTCATGATGATTGTTGAAGTAAATGAATGGCAACAGCATTACAACAACTCACATTTTGCACAAGATTCGGGTTTTTGAGCTCAATACACCATTCTGATTTGCAAGGCTCTCTACTCAGTAAGACGGCACTTCCCTGAGTTTTGGCTGCACTTTGAACTCAAAATATCACTGGAAGGACCGATTTGAGTCATGAGAAAATATTATGTAGCATGAAATGGACTAGCTGTATTCCCCAAAATAGCTTGACATGCTTCTAACAATAAAAAGACTGTTGGAGAAAAGTTCATTCTAGCAATTAACTATTTTGATTTTGGTGAAACAATATACTACACCATTAAATATGTAACAGCAATTTTATTTTTGGTGGAAATGTTTAAGTGCACCTCTGCAAATTTTGTTTGTAAAGATTTAAAACGTTTTATATATTATACATCAAGGCCTAATGAATTTTTTCTCTACATTAACAGTTCCAAAATTTCTTTATTCATGGTTGAGATGCTAACTATATTATGAAATGTTACTCAAACATAAAAACATTCTTTGACCTAGAAAATCAATCTAATAATAAACCACCCCACCAAAACATTTAGACTACTGGTCTAAAACTTGCAGCCTCCAAAGCAATTTTATGCAGACTATGAAGACTTTTCAATTATACATACTTGCCAACCTACGACACTCAAAAATCAGGAGAATTTTCTCAATGAAAAAAAGATTTTTAACTAATACAAATATGTAGAAAGAAAATATATTTTTAATAATGAATTTACTTTAAAAAGTAACTAATCAATATCTGAAAGTTAAGTTATTATTTCTTAAATCCAAATAGTTTTTTTAAAAAATACTTACATGTAAAGAAAGAAAGAAAAAAAAACTGTTTATTACTTGTACCTTTTAATAATAGAAAAATACTCTAATCAGTTTTCTTAATCATTAAATACTTTAACTAGATCACTTAATATTGATTGCAAAACATGAATTATTGTAATTCTGCCCTATGAAATGTTAAGAACATTGAACGATTACAAAATGGAGTGTACAAAAAAGCCAAAAGCTTTGTTACGGTCCAAAGTCAAAAACATAAATACTTTTTCTTCACAAGATAAAAGTTACAAATATCAGAAAATGTGTCCCTTGTGAACCGATTTTTTTTTTTTTTTAATTTTGGGTTTTTAACAATGGAAGCAATAACTAATCATCATTTACTTAAGGTATAATTTTCAATAGTGCCTTTTATCATAACTTTAGAAGCA